ATCAAAAATGTATTTTTTTTTAGGGTAGAGGGCCTCATTTTCCCTTTTTTTTTTAACAGTGTTTTGATTAATGGGATAATTAGGCCTAGTACGGTCCATTACTTAGAAATTTGATTAATACCCTTTCAACCTTTTAATTATCATTAACAATATAATTTACGGAGAGAAATAAATGCAATTCAATCCCAACCAAATAGAAGGCCAAGAGAAGCAAAAGTTTCGAGTAAATGAACTAGGAAAAATTATTGGGGAAGTTGTGGTGGAGCCTAATTTATGGTTCTTGCCTTTTCACAATGCTTGCTACGTAAACTCCTCCAATAAAAAATGGTAAACTTCTTGTCGAGGCTCAATAAATTTTATCTCTTTGGATAATACCTCAGCTTTCCTCGATTGTCTTGCCGAATAATGGATATAAGTGGAGACGTAGTAGTAAATGGCTTGGATTTGTGCTTAAGCTTGAATCTGCTAGTAGTAGTAGTGGAGACAGAGAAAGAGGAGGACGACGGTTGTGTCGGTGGCGTGGAGAACGACGTGATTTGGTGGGATGGTGGTGGAGCAGGTGGGGATTGTTGTGATCTGAATTTCTTATATTCCTTTGTTCTCTGTTTTTTTACATGAATTTAATGTATTATGAACACTATGATTTTATTCACCCGTAAAAGTCAAATCTTGCAAGTAGCTTTCTATCTTGTGTGATTTTGTATGCTTTTGTAGCTAGAATGTATTCATGTGATTCGGCTGCTTGCCAGAGGAAAGACACATGATTTTACAGGCATTATGACTAAAGGTAGTATATGCTTGAAACCCTAGAACTTCATAGGTCTACTCTCTAGTAAGCCTCTTCTATCCCCATGCATTCAATGGCTTGGAATTATAATCACTTCTAGAGTAACATCTTAGATTGGAAACGCGATCGTACAACTTGTGCTAATTAATATATATTTTGTTGGGTAGCTTCATAAATTGCACAATCTAGATTGCTGAGCATATTTTTGTTTTACCTGTAATTTTCATTTAAAACTAATCTATTGTGGATCAATTTTGCTTCTCTATACTTTCTACCTCATATATCTCAAATGTGATAGAACCAACGATGTTTTCCCCCATTTTTTCTACAAATCGCACATATATGTCTGATGGTGGTGGAGGTGGGAGGTGAATTTGCATAGAACGATATATTTTAAAGTTTTGATTGATATTTTGTCATTTTTTTTTTTTGGAATTTACGTCACTTCTTTTTTTTTTTTTAGTTTTTATCACTTTTGTAATATTGTTTGTCACTTTTTAAGTAACAAACATTACTTTTTAATCAAAGCAGCGTTGTATACACTTTATTTTATATAGTATTTTACTTCCAAAAAACTTTTTATATGATTAATGGGTTGGTAAATGGTGGTGGTGATGAATTGATTTAAAGGTACTTGGCGTTTTGATTTGTCTTTTGTCGATAAACTAACTTAAAGATGCTTGGCAGTAAACGGAGGAAGAGGAGAAACCGTGGTTCACTTTTTTCTTTTTAAATTTTTGTCACTTTATTGAATCGATTATAATGTTTTAATAGGCGTTTTCACTTTTTTGAATTTTGTCACTTTTTTCAGTGTTCGTCACTTGTTTTTTTAATTTCTGTCACGTTTTTAGTGTCACTTTTTTGATCACTCTCTTGTCAATTCTTTAAAATTTCTATCATTTTTTGAATGACAAACATCGTTTTTTAATGAAAGTGATATTGTCTGTTATTTTTTTAATAAAAAAAGTGACTTAACTTTAAAAAGTGACATTGTGTCACTTTTTTATTGAATTTTGTCAAGTGTTTGTCACTTTTTTTTAAAATTTATATCACTTTTTTGAATATTTGTCACTTTTTTTTCCACTTTTTTTCAATCGCCTTCTTGAAATTTCTATCACTTTTTTAATAATGTGTGTGTCATTTTTTTTGAATTTTGTCACTTTTTTTGAGTTTGGCTCAAAAAAGTGACAATTTTTATAAAAAAAGTGACATTGTGTCACTTTTTATTTTACACAGTATTTTTTACTTTCTAAAAACCTTTCACGTGATTTTTCAAAACACTTCTAATTTTAAGAGTATTTTTTTAAGTACCCCTTGATTAATACCCTTAAACTAATTAAACATTTTACGGAAGTATTAAATACGTCCTAAACCACCTAATTAACTACAACCAAAGCCCAACCTGATTAACTACAACAAGTCCAAACCACGTAATCCCCCCTCCTCAGAAACCACGTAATCCCCCAAACCACGTATCCCCCATTTGTAGCCCCAAATCTCCAGAGGCAACGTTACGAACAAAATCCGAGCAAATACAACTGTAAATCTCCATTTTCGACCTATTTTCTATCGATTTCTTCTTTATTTTCCCTTCGTATCCGTTCTGGTTTACATCCTCATTCGTAGAAATTGTCCAGAGGCAAAATCCGACCTATTTTCCATCGATTCCTTATCTACGAGCATAATCCGACTTTAAATTTTCATTTTCAACAATTTTCCATCGATTTCTTATTCGTATCTGTTCGGTTTCATTATCTCATTCTCATTTCGGCCCTAAATCCCAAATAGCAGAAACCCTAGATTCCAAATTCGGAAATCTGATTCCGATTCCGATTATTAACTCGTATTTCTGCAATGATTGAAAAGAGTGACTCGAAGAAGTAAAGAAATGTTGAAGAAGAACCATCCTCTAAGAAGAGGAACATAGTTTCTCCATCCTTTTATAAACTCAAGGTAACAACATTTTTTTTTATGTTTTAGTATGATAATAATACTTGAAATTTGTTGTATCTTTTGTGGGTTTCAACTACAGTTTATATTTGGGGAAAATGTATTGATGTATGGTAATAATTTCCGTTTCCCGTTTGTTTATATGTTTTTTTGGCCCACAAATGCTGTATACTTTTGGTAGATGAGTATCAATATATTAAAAACAAATAAAAAGAACAAGTGAAAACAATGCACATATATGCAATTCTCTAAACACGGTCTAACACAGTTGTTTGCATGTGAATATGTCATTAGATGATGACAAATTTGAATGCTGTAGTAATTAGTTTGCCCATTATGTTTATTTTTATTTTTTGTTTTTGTTATTACTGTAATGTGGATTTTTTTTGTTTTTGTAGTATAATAGACTTCACATGTTTTGTTATGTATGATTTTTATTGCTGTAATGTGGATTTTTAAATTTATGTAACTTTTTTGAGTGTTTGCCGAAAGTGATTCATGCACATGCATACATTTACAGTGATTGATATTTGCATGTAGAAAAGAGTTTTATGTCATCTTGTAGTATCATAAGTGGTCAACTTCTAGTTAGCTTGTCTT